AAAAAAAAAAAAAAAAAAAAAAAAAAAAGAAAAAAGAAAAAAAGAAAAAAAAAGACCTTCTCTCTAACGTAACACGCACACCGCACACATGTTATAACCAAATAGAGGCTATCTATAAGAAAGATTTAAAACGTGTGATGAGACCCCAACATTTGGGTTTCGTTTCTTATCGAGGTGCGAGTTAAGTGAGTTGCAATAGACAGAACGTCCTTTTTGCATTTGCTTTCTGCTTTCGAGTAGCACGATCAGTTTTCTTGACACTCCTATCTGCATGTTTTTTTACCTTTACCGTAATTTTGTTTAATAAGTAATGATTAAGGATTATTATATACCCTGCATGAGTTTTGTAATTGAAACGAAGGTATACTTTAGATTAACTGATTAGGTTTATTATATTTATAGGCTGTTTTTCTTTTTTTTTTTTTCTTGATATATTTGTGAACGATTTTTTCGAGAATCGATTGTGGAGACGAATATAAAATATTGATACGCGAAAATGATTGTTTACGAGCAATTTAATTAATTTTATAAAGTAATTGCTCGTATCTCTATCTATAATAGATAATTTGATCGATATTTTTGCGTATCAATTTTTATTTCGAGAATCGATTTCTTAAAAATTGTCCACGAGTATATTATAACATATTGTAGATTTCGATTAATCTAAAACGTATGTCAAGATCAATGCTTTGAGTAATTTTCTTTGAAAATATAATCATATTTTTAGTTTTAGAGATTTGTGTACAAACGTTTTTTTACATTATATGTACGATCGTACGGTTTCCGAGGTAAATTTAGGTTATGTTCGGATAAAGATGGCTGTCAAGGCGTGATAATCTTACGACGACCAAATTTTCATTAAAATTTAATCAATATTAAAGAATAGCGTGTTCCTTTCCAATTGGATTAATTCTAATTGAAATTCTAGCTGCCATAACGCGACTGCTATCATAATCCCGAACATAACCTAAAAATATCTCAAATCTTAATAATGCGATACATAATATTAAAAATATTATTGTATATAATAGAAATATAATTAAACAGTAAACAATCAACATTTATAAACATTTAAAAATTACTTGAGATGTTGAAAACACATATAAAAGTTAATGAAATTAATAAGAAGTATATTTTTTTTATATTATTATTTAATCTTTTTTTTTTTTTTTTTTTTTTTTTAAGAAAACGTTTGACTCTACGTATTCCATAATATCATCGTCCAAAATTTTTCAAATTGTTTCTAATTGTAGATTAAATATAAACACGAAATATCAGGAAAAAGTTAAAAATTTTAAGCTTAAACTATTTTTTGTCTTTGTGCATTTGATAAAAAAAATTCTATAATTTGTTTCCATTTCCAAAAAGATCGAATCTAATTAAATTCCTAAATTACGAAAGTGAAATATTTATAGAGAATATAAAAAAAAATAAATAAATATCTTAAGTTAAGTCATCTTAACCCTTTCAAGATTTTTTTATAATAATAAATGCAACATTACAATCATATGGAATACACAGTATGTTAATTGTATTTTTGCTTTATTCAAAACAAATAGAAAAAAGAAAATAAGATGACTTTATCTTTGACGCCTTTTTCTTTGTTTCTATCTCTGTTATCTTTTTTTCCATAATAACATACACTTCATTTGTTCATAACTCAATCTTAAATAATCTTCTAATATTTTTGGCTTCCAGAATCGAATCTTTAAAACTGGAAAAAATTATACAATAATAGATCGAACTTAACTTTCAAAATGAGATATATCATAATATCATTTCTAATAAAATCTCACTTTCACTGTTAAAAAAAATTATTAACAACACTACTTTACACTATTAATCTCGAAACAACCATCGAAAACATTCTTTCTCCATTTCCACAACTCTAAATCTAAACGGGAGAATATCGCTATCGAAAAATCAGGAGAAAAAAAAAAATAATAATAAAAAGACAAGCATGTAAAAAGAACCATAAAAAAAAATCGTCGCGTGTCAATGGCCAAAGATCGATGTATCCAAACGTGGCACCCGATTCGTAATTAGAAACGTATCGCGTCCTTTTTTCCATACGAAACCGGGGCTTCGATAAACGCGTGCACAGAGGAGAAAAAAAAAGTGAGAGAAAGAGAGAGAGAGGAGGGGTGTGGAAAAAAAGAGAAAAAAAAAATAGTATACCTCGCGAACAGACCTGTATACACGCTTTCGAACATGCATCCCTCGATTTCCAATGCACGAGCGCGAAAGGACGAGAGTGACGTTAAAAAGGAACAAAGACCAATCGGTGATATTACGGATATTACGCTCGTACGCTGGAGATGGAGGGGGGGGGGGGGGGGGGGGGGGGGGGGGGGGGAGGAGGAGGAGTGTGTGTGACGAAATTGACGGAACGGAAGTGTTCATTGGCGGCGGAACAACACACTCGGTGGAACACAACACGGGATGCACTTACGCCCTCATCAATCATCGTTTAGATGCGCCGCCAGTTTCACAGGTTAATCCTTGTAAATTATTGAACGAAGGCCCTGTTAGTTTGCCCAATTCAATTTTCCAGGCAGAGGTCTCTCGGTAATGCGTAATCGGGAGAGAGAATCTCCAATTCATTGGCAACGGTTGCGTCCGATTAATCGACCTTGGACGATTATTGGTCCAGTTTCCAGTGTCGCCTTCGATTTTCACAGGGGGGGAGAGGGGGGAGAAACCCTTATTTTTTGATCTTTCGTGCTTTTCAAATATTCTTTGAGGATAGTAAATAAGTTATATCGATAGAATTGCGAATTCTCTCGTTTCTTCGAGAGAAGAAGGAACAAGGATGGAGAAGAAGGAAAGCAAAGGAATTCGAGGATAATAATAATAATAATAATAATAATAATAATAATAATAATTTTGTTTTCTGTAATCCATGATGATTAACTCGACAGATTTTAAAGATAGATCTGGAGAAAGAAAGGATGGTTTATGAATAGGAGAATAGGGTTTGGAGGGAATATATAACGATAGAGATAATGTTTCGAGCATCATTAGAAAGGACTAGCAGAAGCTTCGGGGAAATTTCAGTACAGACAGCATGGCGGAGAACTGCCGGTTTTATGTGTAATTAGAAGCTGGATTAACAGTGTCGTCTATTGTGCCCAGATTCGTCGTTCTATTTCAGGCGTGTACCATGTAATTGCTTTGTAGATTTTGGTAATGCCGGCGCATGGTTATAACCCTTAAAACGCGGCCGATATCACGTGCACGGAGAAAATCAATTTTCCGAGCTAATTATCAGACGAGGCGCGTCTAATTGGCTCGGTGGTGGAATTTTTATCGTTAACTTTTCGACTCCGTGATATCTGTACGAATATATACATTGAAAAAAAAAAAAAAAGGAAAATATTAAATATCTAGTGTAATTTCAAATTAGAAAGATTAATAATATTCGATTCTAGAAATTAAGAAAAATTTTTTATCGTTCGATAAATTAATCAACGTTGTGTATCAAGTTTTATCTTTGTTTTGGTCTCTGGAATCGATCCTCTAAAGATGTTCCATGAATATTTATAACACTTTGTATATACATACAGTAGCTTATGAAAGTGTTCGAATATTATTTCATAAGAAAATTTAATCGATTTTGATTTTAATAAAAATTAAATAACAGGTTATATATATAGAATAATTGATTTTTCGACGGAAAATCTGTTCGAAGAGACGAAATTCAGCTTTAAAATTATTTATACATATAACATTTTTCTTATCTCTTGAAATAATTTTAATATATTTTATAATATAATATAATCACAATAATATTCAAATCTAACACATTTTTATTATTAATTAATTTTATTTAAGCAAGTTTTTGAACACTTTCGTGATTCACTGTAACTTATAGATTTATTAGGTTTTTGTGTTATTATTAAAAATACGATAATAAGTATTATAAATAATATAATAATATTTTATTTGAAAATGATCAAGGGAATTTCATCGTTGATCGCATCGATTATTCCTGAAAATCAAGCTCTCACTAGGTTTCAATGTTCCCCATCCAGTTGATGGTTCTCTAAAGTATCAAAATGTCGAGTAGTTTACGACGAGTTTAGACGTATCCGGTTAATATATTAATAGAGAAACTATATCGAAGCGCTGCAGAATTGTATACACGGACTTGGGAAACTAATAGATTAGAGAAATTAGTATATAATGCGTTATAACTGCAAGTAATATAGATCAATAGCGTTGATATGATGTAATAACAAGGGGGTAAAAGTTTAATCGGATTAATAAGTATTATCAAATTTTATTGCAGAATTAGAAGAGCGAAAATTTATATATTATATATATTCTGAAATATGAAATATAAATCAATGATTGAAAACTGAAAGGATATGATCGATAAACGACAAGATCTTTTCAGAATTAAGCGTAATAATTTATTTCAATTTTATTAATAACTTCTAATCATAGTAATCATTAATCAGTTAACGATACTTGGACGAGTTTTTAAATGACACTTCAATCACAAATTTATCTACTTCCAAAACAAAATTAGAAATATTGCGTTTCGTGTGTGAACGACATTTAAGTATTTCAGACAAATATTTTAATAATAAAAAAGTTTTTATTTTATACAATATACCACTGCCATATCACGCTACAATGATAAGCGTATGTTTGAAATTCGAGTTGTATTAAAAGCGAATTACACTGAAAATAAATAACAAACTTGTCCCAAGGATTTTCTACGTAAAATTACGTAAAAAATACATATTTCTAAAAAAAATGTTCACAATGTTTGTAATTACAGATTAGAATCATGATGAAAAATATAATCATTTCACGAACATTGACTAACTTTTGATTCCTTTCTTAATCTTTAATCAATTTTTATTCATTGCTTAATAATCACGATTAATTACATTCTATATTAA